TGTCCCCACTGTCCCACTGACTCCTCCGCTGTCCCACTGAGCTGTCCCACTGTTTCCACCACTGTCCCCACTGTCCCCGCCACTGTCCCCACTGTACTTCTGTCCCATTGTCCCACCGCCGTCCTCGCCACCGCCTTTACCAGTGTCTCCACCACCATTGTACCCTCCACTGTCCCAGTGTTTCCACCTCATTCCCACTGTCCCCACACCACTGTCCCCACCACCACCGTTCCCACCACTGTCCACTGTCCCCCCTGTTCCCACCATTGTCCCCACCACTGTCCCCACCACTACCGTCCCCACCACTGTCCCACTGTCCCCCCGCTGTCCCCACCACTGTCCCGCTGTCCCCTCTGTCCCCTCACCACTGTCCCCACCAACACCGTCCCCACCACTGTCCGCACCCCCACTCGGTTTTCGAGGGGGGGGGGGGGGGGTTCGAACCGGTAGTGACCCCCCCCCCTTTTCATGATGAGCTGGGGGGGGGGGGGAGGGGTTCGAACCGGTAGTGACCCCCCCCGGTTTTCCGGAGGGGGGGGGGGAGGGGTTCGAACCGGTAGTGACCCCCCCCGGTTTTCCGCCAGTAGCGGTAGAACACGCTCTTTCTAATATATGAAAGAGTGTGTTCTACCGCTGCTGGCGGAAAACCGGGGGGGGTCACTGCCGGTTCGAACCCCTCCCCCCCCCTCCGGAAAACCGGGGGGGGTCACTACCGGTTCGAACCCCTCCCCCCCCCCCAGTTCATCATGAAAAGGGGGGGGGTCACTACCGGTTCGAACCCCCCCCCCCCCTCGAACTCGAAAACCGGGGGGGTCACTACCGGTTCGAACCCCCCCCCCCCTCCCCCCCCTCGAAAACCGAGGGGGGTGCGGACAGTGGTGGGGACGGTGGTGGTGGGGACAGTGGTGAGGGGACAGCGGGACAGTGGTGGGGACAGTGGGACAGTGGTGGGGACGGTAGTGGTGGGGACAATGGTGAGGACAATGGTGGGAACAGTGGGGACAGTGGGACAGTGGTGGGGACGGTGGTGGTGGGGACAGTGGTGTGGGGACAGTGGGAATGTGGTGGAAACAGTAGGACAGTGGAGGGTACAGTGGTGGTGGGGACAGTGGTGAAGGCGGTGGCGAGGACGGCGGTGGGACAATGGGACAGAGGTACAGTGGGGACAGTGGTGGGGACAGTGGGGACAGTGGTGGGAACAGTGGGACAGCTCAGTGGTTCGAACCGGTAGTGACCCCCCCCTCCGGTTTTCGAGGGGGGGGGGGTTCGAACCGGTAGTGACCCCCCCCGGTTTTCGAGTTCGAGGGGGAGGGAGGGGGGGTAGGGGAGGAGAGGTGTTTTGCCGGGGAAGGGGGGGAGGGATTTTCGGAGGGGGGAGGGGGGGACCCCCGGGGGGGGACCCCCGGGTTCCGGAGGAAAAGGGCGGCAATTTTCGGCAGTAAAGCGGCGGTGGATCATGCTCTCTCTAATATATCAATGCTGAAGTACCGGGGGCCCGGGGCCCAGGCCGAGCCACTCTCTCGGACTCCCTCTTCCCCCCCTTTGGCCCACGACATGTTTGACCCCTTCCGGGGCCTCCCGGGCCTCCCCCCGCTGCTCGAATTAGCTCAGGAGGCAACCAAAAGCGATCAGAGTGGCCTGACAGGGCCGAAGACGCCCGAATGTTGTTTCAAGACAGCTCAAGAGGCCCCGAAGACGTCCCAAGAAGGCTCCAACAGGCCCACAATTTTTTGCGGCGAGAGTGCGCGGGCTGGGGCGAGAGCCACATTTTGAATCCCGCCAGCCTTCCATCCCCGCTTTCAAAATGTGGTTCTCGCCTTAGTGCCACCCACATTCGTTTCAACATTTGCCAGAAATGCTCGGATTGAGGGAAACATGCACCCCGAGAGGGTCCCAGGATGCCCAAATTGTTTCCTTCCTTGTGGGGAACTTGCCTTTTAGCATTTCACACTGTGGGTCTTTACAGCGTCCAAGACGGCCCAAGAGATCTCATAGATCGCCCCCAGATGGTCCAAGAGGCCTCCAAGAGGGTCCCAGGACGGCCCAAGAGAGCCTTAAGACGGTCCAAGAAGCGCCCAAGATGGTCCAGAGGGCCCCAAGTGGAGTCCAAGAGGGAGAATTCCAACTGACATTTCGAGCCCTCCGCCACGAAGAGGCCGCAGCAGGCACCCGAGAGGCCTCCAAGGGCCCCAAAAGAGGCCGAGAAGCATGACAAGAGACCCCGAATTACAGGTATCCAAGAATCCGCTGTCCCAAACTCAGGCACAGTAGCGGAATGGGGCGAAGGCCGTAGAAGAGCAACCAATTGGTTTCGTGACGGACCCATCCCTATGCAAACATGTGTAGTGCAGAGCGTGGGTCTCGTTTCATACGTTAACGCGCTTCGGGGCAATGCGGGAAGATGACTACTGCGGAGGCCGCGTGCAGGGGTGCGCTGAATTCTTTGTTGGCCACGATCCGCGTGAAGGGTATGCCGAATAATTCGGATACCCCCGAGGCATGTTCCGAAATGGGCGGGGGGATGCCACGCGAAGCCGCGAAGCTGCTAATTGGTGCCATTGGAGGGTCTCCTCCTGGGGCATGATTCGCGTGACAGGTGTGTAGACATGGGTGGGGGGGCGCTGTACGAACCTTGTCTCTGGGCTTTTAGGGTGTGCTCCTTGTGCGCACGATCCGCGTGATGGGGTGTGCCACAGTAGCTAGCGAAGGGGGGCGCAGTGTGAACCCTGCCTCTGGGGCCGTAGGTAGAAATCCTTGTGGGCCACGATCCGTGTGAGAGGTGTGCCGAAGTAGGCAGAAGGGCGGGATGCGAACCTTTTCTCCGGGGCCGTCCGTATAACTCCTTGCGGGCCACGGTCCGTGTGAGAGGGGTGCCGAAGTGAGCGGGGCGGCGCTATGAAGCTTCCTTCCGGTGCGGCACATGCAGTTGCTGGCGGGGCACGGTCCCCGGTCCGCGTCGGGGGGGTGCTCCTGTGCGAACCTTGCCTCCGGGACGTAGGTGGAGCTCCCTGCGGGGCGCAATCCCTGTGAGGGGTGCGCCGACATGGGCGCGGGGACGCTACGCCAAGTCCGCCTTTGGGGCCGGAGTTGGAGCTTCCTGAGGGGCACGATCCGTGTGACTATATGTGTCCTCCGATGCCGAACACTTCGTATCTGACAACTGGAGCTTGTTAGAACCTGAGCGCGCGCGTGGTTCTAGTATACTCCCCAATCAGAGCTTGCCTCTGCAGGGGCCCTAGCGGATTCATATGCTTAGGTTAGGTGCGCCGCCGATTTCGGCGGCACGCCCGGGTGCCCGGGTGCCTGGGTGCCAGGGTGAGGTGTGCCGCCGATTTCCGCGCCCAGGTACCCTATAGCCCCATTGCCCCATAGCCCCATAGCCCCATGGCCCTTTAGCCCTATAGCCCTATAGCCCCGTAGCCCCATAGCCCTATAGTCCCATTGCCCTATAGCCCTATTGCCCTAGCGCCCTAGCGCCCTATAGCCCCATATCCCTATAGCCCTGTAGCCATATAGCCCATAACCCTAGAGCCTTATAGCCGCATAGCCCATAACCCCAAAGCATATTATGTTTTGATTTTTCTCTGGTATCATGGATATAGATACAGGCATGTTTATATATATACATATATATATAGGTATGTATACAGCTGCCCGCGGCAACCCTGCCACCGCGCCTGTGCAACAGCGCAGCAGAAAGGAGACTGAGTGTACGAACGGCGCAATTCCGACGACTGGTTTGAACTGGGACGGGCCGTGAACTCAACCTCGTCTTCGTCCGCGCGGTAGGGGAGAGGTCAAGTTGACGCCCCGTTGAAGTTCAGCGAGCGGTCTGAATTGACGCGGTTGGTGAACTCGCCCTCATCTTCATCCGACCGTGCGTCAGGGATGCGGAGGACGAGGATGAGGGGGAGTGAACAGGAAAATTACGCTACCGAGGAACCCCACATACGTAATTTAAATATCATGTGTTTGCTGCTCATTATCATGGGGCTTTGCGACAGTGTCGTGGGTGGCGGCCGCGCTCAGAGACCCCTGTGGTGTCGAGAAAGTGCCACGGCTGCACAGCTTTGCGCCAGTGTCGTGGACAGCGGCCGAGCTGAGAGACCACCCCCTGCCCACCCCCTGTGGTGTCGAGAAAGTGCCACGCCTGCTAGGCGTTGCGCCAGTGTCGTGGATGGCGGCCGAGCTGAGAGACCACCCCCTGCGCACCCCCTGTGGTGTCGCGAAAGTGCCACGCCTGCTAGGTTTTGCGACAGTGTCGTGGATAGCGGCCGAGCTGAGAGACCACCCCCTGCGCACCCCCTGTGGTGTCGAGAAAGTGCCACGCCTGCTAGGCTTTGCGCCAGTGTCGTGGATAGCGGCCGAGCTGAGAGACCACCCCCTGCGCACCCCCTGTGGTGTCGAGAAAGTGCCACGCCTGCTAGGCTTTGCGCCAGTGTCGTGGATAGCGGCCGAGCTGAGAGACCACCCCCTGCGCACCCCCTGTGGTGTCGAGAAAGTGCCACGCCTGCTAGGCTTTGCGCCAGTGTCGTGGATAGCGGCCGAGCTGAGAGACCCCCCTGCCTGCGCCACCCCCTGTGGTGTCGAGAGAGTGTGTGGTGTCGAGAAAGTGCCACGCCTGCTAGCTTTGCGCCAGTGTCGTGGATAGCGGCCGAGCTGAGAGACCACCCCCTGCCCACCCCCTGTGGTGTCGAGAAAGTGCCACGCCTGCTAGGCTTTGCGCCAGTGTCGTGGATAGCGGCCGAGCTGAGAGACCACCCCCTGCGCACCCCCTGTGGTGTCGAGAAAGTGCCACGCCTGCTAGGTTTTGCGCCAGTGTCGTGGATAGCGGCCGAGCTGGGACCCCCCCTTGCCCCTTCTCCTCGCCCTCCCCCCCCCCCTCCTGCTCCCCCATTCCCCTCCTTCCGCCCTTCCCCTCCCCCCCCCTCCCCGCACCCACTCCTCCCTGTTTCCCTCCCCCCCTCGCCCCCCCTCACCTCCCCATCGCCGTGCGAAAGGCTGGTGGAGCGCGAGCGCCGCCGCCGCTCGGAGGACCGGAGCCTGCTGGAGATGCACGAGAGGCGCCCGCGCCCCCCCTGCGCCCGGACCGCGGTCCTCCTCGTCTCCCCTGCCCCTCCCCATTCCGTACAGTTGGGGCGCTGAAAAAGGAACCTTTTCCGTTGGGGAGGGGCTCGGTGTTCCTTGATTGTTTTGCAGTTTGCCTTTGGGGTTCCTAAGGTTTTCCATGCAAAATCAAAGTTTAACTTACGGGACAAAGGGGCCTCGTCCCTCATTTAGGGTTCCTTAGGTCAACACCCCGACTGTAGCCCGCGCTGCACCGCGATGGCGGTTGATGCCCCGTCTCTGCCTTCGCCGCTTTCCTTGCTGGCCCCGGGCGTGTGTGGACCCAGGCCGATCCGCGGCCCGTGGTCTTGGGTCCTGATCCCCCCCTTCCCCGGAGGAGGTGGCGGAAGGAGAAAGGGGAGCGAGAGGGCGGACGAGCAGGAGCAGGAGGGACGAGGAGGAGCAGGAGGGACGAGGAGGAGGAGGAGGAGGATGAGCAGGAGGGAAGAGGAGGAGGAGGAGGAGGAGGAGGAGGAGGAGGAGGAGGAGGAGGAGGAGGAGGGGGAGGAGCAACACGACGACGACGACGACGACGACGACGACGACGACGACAACGACGACGACGAGGCGGAGGTGCTGGAGGTGGGCGCTCGGGCGGAGGAACGCGAGGAGAGGGTGATGCTGGCGCAAGCTGGGCAGCGACGGTGGACCCATTGCCCCGCCCAGCGCTGTCACTCCGGCTGCCTCCGGCGCAGGACCGACCCAGAGAGCGGAAGGAGGAGCATCCCGCTGCGCGTCCAGATCGGGCTGTTGATCGAGGACCGCGCCGACCCCGCGCCGCCCGTTTGGCTCTCGGGCGGCCCTCGCGGTCACGCCGTGCACGCCCCGTGCTAGTGCATTCGTCATCTTCTTCCGTGGCTGGAAGGGCGCGTCGTGCCCACGGCTCCTGCCACCGGCGGCAGGAGCCGCGGAACCGCCGCACAAGAGCCAGGGGGGGGATGGGGAGAGGGAAGGGAGGCAGGGGAGATGGGGAGAATGAGACGTTGGAGAGGAGGGAGCAGAGAGGGAGGGACGGAGACAGCTGGTTCCGTTTTTTGCGCCAGGGGGAGACGAGGCAGGAGGAGGCCGCGGAGAATGCGCCTGTTCTGTGTTGGCGAGGTGGGGCGAGTCGATTCCCTGCAGTTTGGAGTAGGAAGTGGCCGCCATAGGCCCCACATCTGCCGTTCCCGAGCCCCCAGGCATGCATTCAGCACGCGGCTGAAGCATGAATGATTTCTCCGGAAGGCGATGAGTTTAGTCCTGTGCACGGACGAGCTGGGTTCGGTGGCATTCTCGGATCAGGACGACGGTTGGCGAAGGGGGCGTTCCTATTGTCCCCGCCTTCGTCATTCCCATCTCCACGAAGCAGCTTCAGACAACAAAAAGACTGAAGCGCTCTGAAGGCCCTCCGTGACCCGTTGGCCCCGACCTGTGCACCGGCCACGCCGGCGTCTATAAGCGGGCGGGGCCCGGCCGCTTCTCGATCGCCCGCTTCCGCGCCCAGGCCGAGGGGGCGCGGCAGATACAGTCGGGGCGCTGAAGAAGGAACCCGTTTCGTTGAGGAGGGGCTCGGTGTTTCTTGATTGTTTCAAAGGTTGCCTCGGGTTTTCCTGAGGTTTTCCATGGGAAGTTAAGGTTGAACTTATTGGGAAAAAGGGGCCTCGTTCCTCATTTAGGGTTCCTTAGGTCAACGCCTCGACTGCAGAGGAAGACAGCGCGATGCACCTGGTGACAGGTGTCCTCAAGTTACTGTGTCCAGGCGCGCACATCGAATCGACTTCGCCCGACGCTGCTAGGCTGCGCTTCTGGGTCAGATGAAGGAGACCGTTGATGACGATCTTCGGCATGACCGCCTGTCACCGAAACTCAGGCGATGTCTCATTGATATCTGTCCCCGTGGTGGTCTGCTGACATCGTGGGTTTTAGCGCTCTGATGCCTGGGGCCACAATGGGGGGGGGCTCGTGAACTGGTGGGGGGTGCTCTGGTTGATGGTTCATGGCGACTCGCAGTGCCCGAAGGACGGGCTCCAGGACCCCTGGGAATTTTCAGGTCAAAGCCCGGCACAGGCAGCAGACTCGCCGTCGCCCCCAAAATGCTGGAGGCGCTTCGGTCGCTCCGTCTTGTTGCCGCCTCTCGGCGCGGCCCCTTCCTTCCCCCTCCGCCTGTGCCTCCTTCCCCATCATCGGTGCGATCTCGGGGCGCCCCACGCTTTTGTCCCCCCGTTGGCCTGTGACCCCTTAGCTCCCCTCCCTTGAGTCCCGTGCTCCAGCATGGCACTGACAGTTTTTGCGACACTTTTGTGGGTCTTGTGAAGTCGGTTGGCTAGTTGTCCGAGGTTTGTTTTGCCGTTGAAGGCGGACCTGTTTCATGTCTGGACATGTTGTTTGGGCTAATTCAGGGCCAGCCATGGTCTCCCAGGTTCGGGGGACGTTTCGAGGACATTGGCCCAGTCCTTCCTTCCTTTCCTGTCCTTGCCTTTGCTGCTGGTTCACCTCGGTCGTCTCGCCGTCGGCTCGCCCTGTCGCCGCCGTCGGTCTCGTTTCCTTTCTCGTCCGCGGTTCGCTGCCCTCTGCGGCTCCCCTGGTCTGCTCGTCCTGCTGGTTTCTCCCCTCTTGCCTTCTGTTGTCCCTTGTCTCTCCCCCCCTCCGTTCCCTGATGCTTGCTGTTCCTCCCTCCTTCTTGTGCCCCTTCCCGTGCTTTCTCTGCTCTCCTGCGGCCGGTGGGGATGAGGGAGCGCGGCGCGCCGCCCGCGCCCCGCCCCACGCCGCCCCGCCCCCTGCTGCCCGCCGCCCCCTGCCGTGCCGAGCTTCCTGCTCGGCTCCGCGGCCGACCCGTCGGCTCGGTCGGCGGGGTCGGTCCTCCGGCGCGGGGAGGGGCAGCGGTGGCTCTGGCTGGCCAGCTGCCAGGAGGGAGAGAAACACACAGACACAATTCATCGTCGACTCCCCAGAAAATATGGGAAAATGTGGGAAGTGTTGGGGAAGACAAAAAGCCAGCAAATATGTGAAAATATGGGGGATCTTTTTATTTGTGTGTATTTATTTGTGTCCCAGGGCCCCTTCAAGCTGCCCCGCGCAGCCAGTAATCAGCGCGCGCGCTTGCAGGCAGCACGCGGTGCCCAGAGCGCTCTGCTCCCGAGCGCCCCTGGGCCCTCCTCCTCCTCCTCCTCCTCCGCCTCCTCCTCCTCCTCCTCCTCCTCCTCCTCCTCCTCCTCCTCCCCCTCCGCCCGCGCGACGGGTTCCCGACGAGCTTCGCGGCACGTGTGGCGCCCTGTTGCAGCTGTCCGCTGTCGCCTCGCTTCCCCGCGCCGGGTTCCCGACGTCGTCGGATGCATCGGTGTGCTTGGGCTTCCCTCGTTGTTGTTTCCTCGTCTCTGCGGGGCGCTGTCTCTTGTTGTGAGTAGGCCTTGCTGCTGTGGCTGGTTTGGGCCTGTCTCAGGCGGGGGAAACACACAGACACCATGAATCGTCGACCCCCAGGAAAAGATGGGAAACCATGGGAAGTGCGGGGGAAGACAAAACCTAGAAAATATAGGAAAATAGGGGGAATCCTGTTGCTCGTGTCAACTTATTTGTGTGTCCCAGGGCCCCTTCACTGTCGCTCGGCGGCGGGGGGGCGATAGTGGCTCCGACTCGCGCTCGAGGGCGGTTCGCTCGAATCGCGGCGTCCGGTTTCAATGGGGGTCCTCGCCCCCAGGCACAACGGACGCCTCGTGCAGAGTACCCGCGGGTGTGCCTCTTTGCTTCCCTTGCTTCTCTTGCGTGCATGTCTGACCCGTTGACGCGGCCTGCGGCGTTGACCGAGCGTGCGCGCGGCGCTGGAAATCAATCCCCCCTCCTTATCCTCCTCTTCCTCGTCCTCCTCTTTCCCCTCTTCCTCTTCCTACTCCTCCTCCTCCTCCTCCTCCTCCTCCTCCTCCTCATCTTCCTCCTCCTCCCCCTCCCCCCCCCCGCTTCTTCCTCTTAGTGCCATGATCTGACATTGTGTTTTCTCTCCCTTCCTTTCTTTCCTTTTCTGAAATTATCCCTATTCCTGGCCTCCTCCGTCGCAATTCATTTTCATCCCTGCTCTCTGAGCCCCCCGCGCGAAGGACGGCACGCTGCCCGCAGACTGGATGGCCCACAGCACTTAGCCGGGCGTCCGCAGAATTGCGCTTCTTCGGGCGCCACTCCCCAAGTCGGCCAGGGGGGCGGGCGAGTCGTAACGTCTGCGCAGCAGCAACCACTTCCGCCTGTTTCTAGTGGTTTGTCCTCCCCCCCGTCCTTTTCACTCCCCCCTTCCCCCTCGCATCCTCCCCTCCCGTTCTTTCTCCTCCTCTTCCCCCTGCCTCCCTTCTCAATTCCACTCCGTCCATCCCTTCCCCCCTCCCATCCCCGTATCCCTTCCATTACTCACCCTGCCGTTTCCAAGCCGTCTTGCCTTTCCTGCTGCCCTTCCGCCTTGCCCCCCTCGCTCCCGCCCGCCCCCCTTTTACCGCTCAGTTCCCATGTCCTCTGTCCTTTGTCGGGGCAGGGTGACCTAAGACTTCCAAGGCTCCCCTCCTCCGCTTCCTCCCTCTCCGAATCGCCCCCCTCATTCGGCAGGGCTCCCTGTGTCTCAAGTGGGCCTCCTCTCTCCCATTTTCTCTGGCGGCCCCCGCTCGGCCATGCCCCCCCCCGGCCTGGGGAGGGGCGCCCGCGCCGTGAGCGCGGTTTCTGCCTCTCGCTCCGGCAGCCCGTCGGGGCCTGCCAATTATTTGCGATAGCACATCGGCCACCCATCCGCCCCAAGTCCCAGCCCCTCTCGCTTCCCCTCCCTCCGCAGTTTCGCGTATTCTTCCGCACGTCTAGCTGTGAAACCATCGGGGGTGGACAGGCCTCCTACCCTGACACGTCGATTCGCGAATTGGCCGTTTTCGGTTCGCGAGAGGGCGTCGCGGCCGTAATTTTTGTGGGTTGTCGCTCCCAGGCCGTTTTCACAAAAGGGAGGTTCATTAAAGTGAGGCTTGTCCACCGCCGAAGCCAGCCGAAGGCCGAGAAGGAGGTAGAGGCGGTGGAACCAACGACGGGACAACCATTCGGACAACCTGTGCTGGTCTTATCTTGTATTGGCCTGTTTGGCGATCTACCGATTCCACTATCAATAAACTTGTCGATGCGTATACACATGTCGGGGGACCAGGTCTGGGAGCCCCCAGGCCGGAAACTCGACCACATATGGGTGGTCCGGGCCACCCAGGGCCTTGCCGGCGCGCCAGAGGTCCTCCAAGATCGCTCGAAAACGGCCCCGGATCGCTTGAAAACGCCAAACCGGCCTACCACGGTCCCAGATTGCACAGAATTGGTCCCAGATTGTCCAAGAGGTTTCCAATTTGCTTCCACAAGGCCTCCCAAGAGGCAGAATTCATTAATTTGTCGATGGTGTTTGAGGGATTTGGGTGTGCTCGCCTTTGCGGCTTTCCAACGCTCCCAGCGGCCCGAGACGTCTCCAAGGACGACCCCATACTGCCCAAGAGAGCCCCAAGGGAGCCCCAAGTCGCCTTAAGAGAGCTCCAAGACGGCCCCAACAGGGCTCCAAGACAGCCTGAGAGGCTTCCAAGACGGTCCCACAGGCACCCAAGACGATTCCAGAGAGGGTCTAGACGGGGGGCCTGAACGGACATCTCGAGCCCTCGGCCCACAGAGGATTTCACGAGACACTGAGAGGCTCCCCAGGAATCTCCCAAGAGGCCCAGAGAGGCCCCCGGCCCCCACGAGGCCTCCACGAGGCCCCCACGAGGCCTCCAACGAGGCTCTCAAAAGAGCCGGATTCATACATGTTTCGAAGGTTTTGAAGAATCTTCGCGTTCACGCATTGCGGCCCAAGAGGCCCCCAATGGCGTCCCAACCCAGCTCGAGAGGCCCCCAAGAGCGCTCCAACCCAGCTGAGGAATCCCCCAAGAAGGCTCCAGAGGCCTGAAAGGCAGCCCCAGCGGCCCCCAAGAAGGCGGTCCCAGAGACCTCCAAGATGCCGCGATAGACCTTGACGAGCGCTCCCCAGAAGAGACCCCACGAGCTAAATTTCATTGATCTTCCACCGATCTTTCAGAAATGCCCCCAGACGGCCCGAGAGAACTCCGAGACTCCCCAAGAAGCCTCGATGAGGCCTCCCACGAGGGCCCAAACAGGCAAAATCCATTGATTTCTGGGTTTGCGAGGGATTTCGGATGTCTTCCTTTTGCGGCTTCCCGATGCTCCAAGGCAGCCAAGAACGCCCCCAAACTGCTCAACAGGCCCCCAAGAGGACGCCCCGAGGGGCCCCCACGGCGGCTCCCAAAGGGGTCCAGACGGGGGCCTCGTGCGGACACCTCGAGCCCTTTGCTCCCAGAGGCCCCCAGGAGGCCCCGAGAGGCGTCCTAGAGGCTCCCGAGAGGCCCCCACGAGGCCTCCAAGAGGCCCCCCACGAGGCCTCCACAAGGCCCCCAAGTGAGTGACATTCATTGATTTCTCCGAGGTTTTGAAGATTGTGGCTTCCTCGCCTCTTCGGTTTCCGACCCTCCACGGCGGCCAAAGAGGCCTCCAATATCGTCCGAGCATCGCTCAAGAAGCCTCCGACAGCGCCCCAAGACACCCCAAGAGTCTCCCAAAGAGATCCCCAGACGCCTCCTAGGCAGCCCAGGCCCCCAAGACGGCGGTCCCCAGGCAGCCTAAGAGACCACCAAGACACCCCCAGAGGCCTCCACGAGGCCTCCCAAGAAACCCTAACGAGGAAGCATTCTGCGATTTGTCCGAACGGTGACGACGATGACGATGACGGTGACGGTGACGGTGACGGCGACGGCGACGGCGATGGCGGCGACGGCGACGGCGACTTCGACGGCGACGGCGACGGCGACGGCGCGACGACGACGACAACGACGACGACCACGACGATATACCGATATACACGTGTATATATACACATGAATACATGGTTGCAGTATGTATGTATGGATGGATGGATGAATGTATGGATGCACTAGTGTGTGGATGTGTGCATGTCTAGGTATATACATGACTGCATGCATGCATGTATGTGTGTATGTAAATAGTGATGTAGGTATACAGGTATCCAACTATGCAGGTATGAGGGTATGTGTGCATGTTTGCATGCATGCACATATGTATACAATTATCGATGTATCGATGCATGGTTGCAATATGCTACGTATGTATGCAGGTCTGTCTGTCTGTATGTATGTCTGTATGCAAGTATGGATGTAAGTATGTATGCGTGTAGGGGTGTCTGTACGTGTGTGTATGCATGCATCTATATATGTATGTATGCATGCATGGATGGATGGATGGATGGATGGATGGATGTATGTATACATATAACGGCGCACCGGGTCCGGGGGCCCGGGGCCGGGACCTCGACCACAAATGTGCGCCCCGGGGGGCCCGGAGGCTCGTCGGGGCTTGCCGGAGGCCTCCCCGGTCAGACAAGACGGCCCCAGGAGCGCCCAAGACGGCCCAAGAAACTTCCAAGAGGCCTCCAAGAGGGCTCCGAGATGCTGAAGATGGCCTCCAGACGTCCAAGGACGCCCCCAAGAGGCCCCAAGAAGCCTCCAACATGCGTCCCAAGAGGGCCCCTAGACGCAAAAATTGGCCCATTCCCTTCGTAAAACGTACATTTTTCAACAAAGTTGCTTTTTGGCTTTCCGACGTTACAGGACGGCCCAAGAGGCGCCCAAGACCGCCCCAAGACGGCCCAAGAAGCTTCCCCAGGACAGCCAAGAGGGCCCCAAGACGGCCCAAGAGCGCCCAAGATGGCCCAAGAGGGCCCCAAGACGGGCCCAAGAGGGGGCCCAGAGGGGGACCACGAACCGCAAGCTCGAGCCTTCCGCCCCAAGAGGCCGCCAGGAGGCCCCCAGGAGGCCCCTCAAGAGGCCCCAGGAGACCCCAGACGTCCAAGGACGCCCCCAAGACGCCCCAAGAAGCCTCCAACATGCGTCCCAAGAGGGCCCCTAGACGCAAAAGTTGGCCCATTCCCTTCGTAAAACGTACATTTTCAACAAAGTCGCCTTTTGGGCTTTCCGACGTTACAGGACGGCCCAAGAGGCGCCCAAGACCGCCCCAAGACGGCCCAAGAAGCTTCCAAGAGGGCCCCAGGACAGCCCAAGAGGGCCCCAAGACGGCCCAAGAGGCGCCCAAGATGGCCCAAGAGGGCCCCAAGACGGGCCCAAGAGGGGGCCCAGAGGGGGACCACGAACCGCAAGCTCGAGCCTTCCGCCCCAAGAGGCCGCCAGGAGGCCCCCAGGAGGCCCCTCAAGAGGCCCCAGGAGACCCCAGACGTCCAAGGACGCCCCCAAGAGGCCCCAAGAAGCCTCCAACATGCGTCCCAAGAGGGCCCCTAGACGCAAAAGTTGGCCCATTCCCTTCGTAAAACGTACATTTTCAACAAAGTTGTCTTTTGGGCTTTCCGACGTTACAGGACGGCCCAAGAGGCGCCCAAGACCGCCCCAAGACGGCCCAAGAAGCTTCCAAGAGGGCCCCAGGACAGCCCAATAGGGCCCCAAGACGGCCCAAGAGGCGCCCAAGATGGCCCAAGAGGGCCCCAAGACGGGCCCAAGAGGGGGCCCAGAGGGGGACCACGAACCGCAAGCTCGAGCCTTCCGCCCCAAGAGGCCGCCAGGAGGCCCCAAGGAGGCCCCTCAAGAGGCCCCAGGAGACCCCAGACGTCCAAGGACGCCCCCAAGACGCCCCAAGAAGCCTCCAACATGCGTCCCAAGAGGGCCCCTAGACGCAAAAGTTGGCCCATTCCCTTCGTAAAACGTACATTTTCAACAAAGTTGTCTTTGGGGCTTTCCGACGTTACAGGACGGCCCAAGAGGCGCCCAAGACCGCCCCAAGACGGCCCAAGAAGCTTCCCAGAGGGCCCCAGGACAGCCCAAGAGGGCCCCAAGACGGCCCAAGAGGCGCCCAAGATGGCCCAAGAGGGCCCCAAGACGGGCCCAAGAGGGGGCCCAGAGGGGGACCACGAACCGCAAGCTCGAGCCTTCCGCCCCAAGAGGCCGCCAGGAGGCCCCCAGGAGGCCCCTCAAGAGGCCCCAGGAGACCCCAGACGTCCAAGGACGCCCCCACGACGCTTCGCGTCACCAATTTCTTCTCACAACGATTCCTGGGTCTGTGACTCGACAGAACCTAAGCGCGCGCGAAGCGCGCGCGTGGTTCTAGTATATATGTATGTATGCACGTATGTACGTATGTACGTATGTACGTATGTACGTGTGTACGTATGTACGTAGGTTTGTATGCATGCATGCATGTATGCATGTATGCATGTAAGTAAGTATGTATGTATGTATGTATGTCTGTGTGTATGTGTATATGTGCATATGTGTCTGCATGTAGGTTGGTATGCAGACATGTATGCATGTAGGTGGGTGGGTGGGTGGGTAGGCAGGCATAGGTACAGGTATAGTTGTACCGGGAGGGCCCGAAGCCAAAATTCTTTTGCGCCCGGTGGGGAATCTAGCGCCCGGAGGATCCGTATACCTAAAGGCCTTATTTTTTCATGAGGCCACCCATACTATTCTCTCCCTGGCCGCATGCTATGATTTCTCTCTCCTCCTCCTTCCTACTCCTCCTCCTCCTCCTCCTCGTCCTCCTCCTCCTCTGTCTCTCCCCGCCTCTCTTTCTCTCTCTTTCTCTCTGCAATCTCCCCACGTGCTCTGACTTGCTCTCCTCTTTCTCTTCCTGCCTCACTCCATCGTTATTTCCCCATCCTCCTCCTCATGCTCCTGCTGCTGCTGCTCCTCCTCTTCCTCCTCCTCGGCCTCCTCCTGCTCCTCCTGCTCCTCCTCCTCCTCCTCCTCCTCCTCCTCCTCCTCCTCCTCTTCCTCCTCCTCCTCCTCCTCCTCCTCCCCCTCGTCCTTCCTTTTCCTCCTCCTCCTCCTCCTCCTCCTCCTCCT